GGTGCAAAGGAAGCCTGCCAATTTAGGATTACACTTCATGCGTCTGATAAAGGGACTCTGGTTCACGAAAGCTTATGCCATAATAAATTTGTTAGTCTTTAAGATGCCAGAAGACTCTTTTGTTGTTTTTGCTGCTCCCATCTGGAAACAAGAAGGAGATATTTCATATGCCATAAACGGTGGCTTTTCATGCACAAGTGAGCAGTGCCTGATTTGCTCCTCCATGCCCATGATGAGAGGGAACAAGCCATGATCCCTGGCTTAGCACTATTGCTGAACCAAGCATTGTAGTTTGGTTGGCTCCAACAAACAGCTCAGGTAGTAAACTCTTCTATGGCTTAATGTGATGTGCAAGATTAGTTCAATAATAGAGTACATTTCAGTAACCCAAGTTATTAAGTGGTAGCCTCCTGTGATTTAAGAAGCAGGAAATGTAGGCAAACTTGAACCCAATCTCTGCTGTTTTTAGGGATCCTTCTGATATTTTCACTGGAATATAAGAAGCTGACTTGCCCGCAACCAAGTGTTTGCTACAACCATTCCCTAAAAATAAAGCTTGGTTTCACATCCTAAGCAATTCTGTGGAACAACTAGATTTGCCTCTGGGATTGATACATAAGTAATTTTTCATCAATCCCCAGTTATTCCACAACTGCCTTTGGAGGGTATGCTCACAATTGTGGCTTCAGATGCAGTGACCTCCACTGCATTTAAGCTGCCTTTGCAGGAGCAGTTCACATTAGAGAGGGGATGGTGATGTGTTCACCAGACGTGCATGACCTTTTTGGTTTCCCCGCCCCTGCAACCCCACCAGAACTCTTATTAAGCTGCACACCTGTGCCTGCACCAGCACACAGCTATTAGGGTATGTTCACATTACCACTTACTTTGCATCCAGTTTTTGAGGCGGATTGCAGCTGGCTTAAGAAAACCTTGGCAATAGCTAGTCCTTCAGGGAGTAATAGCATCCGTTTCTCCTTCTACGTTGAGGTCATATAAGAAGGCCTGGGTGGACTTTTTAACTTTCAGAGCACAGCATTCAACAAGCAACAGTACAGAGTCGCCATCCACACATCAGGTGTTGCAGTATTTGGCTCACCTGCGGTTTATGGGTCGTGCTGTGAAGTCCATCCGAATTCAATCTTCTGCCATTTCATTTTTCTGTAAGTCCCTTTATTCTAGAGACCCTTGCGCAAAGTTTGTGGTGCGCAAGGCTCTTGAGGGCTGGGCCAGGCTGCAGCCACCTGAGTCGCCAGGTAGGAGGCCTGTCGCTTTCGACATTTTATGTGCTGTGCGCAGCAAGCTGAGGCTAGTTTGCTGGTCTATTTATGAGGCGAGACTCTTTTTGGCGGCCTTTTTCAATTGCATTTTTTGGTGCACTGCGTGTGGGTGAAGTGGTGCTGGAATCAGCGCAGGGAAGGGCTCCCAGGGGCTTGCTTTTGCAGGACATTCAGCTGTCCGATGCGGAGCTGGTGCTCCCTATTTGTAATTCCAAAACGGACCAGTTGGGCAGAGGCGCCTTGATGAGGCTGCCTACCACTGTTAAGCCCAGCCCTTGTCCAGTGAAGGATGCCAAGAAATATTTGTCACTTCGCCCACCTGGGGATGGTCCCTTCCTGATCCATGAGGATGGGTCCCTGTTAAGAAGGCATCAATTTGCTGCAGTAATGCGCAAGACGCTGGCAGCATGTGGCCTGTTGGCCAGTGAGTTTGCACCTCATTCCTTTCACATTGGGCAGCTACCACCTCTGCGCATTGGGGCCTGTCCATTGACAAGATTAAGGATCTGGGCCGCTGGAAATCTGGAGCATACCGGGGTTATATTCGGACATGGCGCTGAGGTGCAGTTGCTAATGTTATTTTGTTCATTCCTAGGTCTTGTCTACCCTGCATGTCTGAATAGTTGGGCACAGCATTGTCCACTGGGCCAGCAGGAGGGCAACGGAGTCTGGATTCGGACGCAGGCTTGGACTCTCCGACCAGGCTTGGATATCCAGATGAGGAATGCATTGGGAGGAGCTTCTCCCGACGGTGCGGGTGAAGGTGTCTGCGGAAGGCACGCTTGCAGCGATGGTGGTGCAGCTGGGCGAGAACGATTTTCTGGAAGCTTCCGGCTTGAGCCTGCGGACCCGCATGCAGAAGGACTTGGAAGAGTTGAAGGCAGCTCTTCCCGGACTCAAAATCTTTTGGTTGCAGCTGCTGCAGTGACGTGTGTGGTGAGGTAGCCGATGCCCAGTTGCCACCGAGAGGGCCAGGAGGCGTGTCCAGAGTGCAGTGGCCGAGAAGGTTCTGGCCTTGGGTAGGACAGTGACCCATCACCCGGGCATTACCTTCTGAGATGGTTCCCTTTACAGGCTTGATGGGGTTCATCTGTCTGTGATTGGGAATGATTTGTGGCTGACCTCCATGTCAGCGGGGTTAAGGGATTGGTTACAGGTGTGAGTGGTTGGCGGCGAGCGCAGGTGCTTGTCTGGCGGATAGGCTCTGGTTCAGGTGATAGGGATGGGAGAACGCTCTCACCATCACTATGTGAAGGGTATTCCATTAAAGGAATCCAGGGACTCAAATGGTTTGGTCAACCCCTGAGAGGGGGCTGTGCCCATGCCAGAGTCCACGGGGACATCTGGGTGGTGGACATAGTCCGTTCCCGACTTTTCGCTTATCCAGGTGTTCACCCTTGGCTGACCTATGCTGGAACCCTGGGTCAGCGCTACCTGCATGGCAGGGAGCTAGTCAAACCAGACCCTATGCAACCACTCACTTTCTGTAATCAATAAAGTTGTGGCCTAAATTCTGCCAAAAACCCAAACTAAAATTTTAGTCAAGTGTGAATTTATTTAGGGGGAGGTTTCTGGGTCTGAATACGCAAAACACACACACACATCCAACAGCAGTATTTGCCAAGAGATTGCAGGATCAATATGGATTACGGCTAATGTCATGTGAACGAAGCTTCAAAAATTAGCAGTGGGAGTGTGCGCTGGATGCTAATGTGAACATACCACATAATCCTAATTTCTTAGTATTTTTTTGACAACAAAAGTAGTTACTCCCATACATCTTCAAATATATCAATGTTGATGTTATAATAATGGCAGTGATTATGACAAAACAGAGACAAACAGTTTAGGTTCTCGTGGTGCTTATTTCGTCCTAATTTTCATAGTTGGTTCTCTTGGTGGAAAGGAGACATTCACTCAGTTGGACATTCACTCAATTTCAGTATAACTCAGCCTCCCAGAACAAACAAAAGAGGTGAATAAGCTTGCTGATGTCACCCATTTCACGGGCTGTTGACACCTTTGCTTCCCCCCTCCTCCGAGAACCTTCATTTGAAAAAGAAGGGGGAGAGGGGGAAGTCTCTTGTCAGCAACAATTGGACTAGCCACTCTTTAACTAACAAATTACAGCGAAAACATTGGCTTCCTGTCCTTTCATTTAAGCTCATTGATCATTCTTCCCAGTAAACAAGGCAGTTGTGGGCTTTTGTTTAACTTGTGCTCTCATTTTGTGTGGGGTGTTTTAAAGCACAAAAAAGTGCTCTTGAGGTCATTCTGCTCAAAGAAAAGTGGAAGGATGGATGGCAGCGGGACAATCAGGGAAGAATCTGGTCAGGCAGAGCTGAGTGGGATTCACTTGAGTTAAAGCAGGGGCCCTGCAATAAATATTCCAATGTACAATGGATGAAAGAGAAGGTTCAGGTGAGAGAAAATGCAACCTCAGGCTTCAGTCACTCTAAAATATTTGCCCAGTACAGAGAAGCTATACATGCACATATAGAAACAATTACTGAAATTTAAATAGAATACTAATTTAATTCAACAATATTATTTCAGCAATTTATAAGCAACTTAATGAAATGGTCTCTAATACAGTGGTGCCCCGCAAGACGAATGCCTCGCAAGATGAAAAACCCGCTAGACGAAAGGGTTTTCCATTTTTCGATGCGCTTCGCAAGACGAATTTCCCTATGGGCTTGCTTCGCAAGCCGAAAACGTCTTGCGAGTCTTGAGATTTTTTTCGCTCCCCCCCCTTTTCTAAGCCGCTAAGCCGCTAAGCCGCTAATAGCCTTTTAGCCGCTAAGCCGCTAAGCCTTTAATAGCCGCTAAACCGCTAATAGCGCTAATCCGCTAAGCCGCTAATAGGGTTGCTTCGCAAGACGAAAAAACCGCTAGACGAAAAGACTCGCGGAACGGATTATTTTCGTCTTGCGAGGCACCACTGTACATCTCACTGCAGTGGGGAGCAAGACTGACTGAATAAATGTGACCTGCCTGATGTCCAAGTGCCAAGGTGTTTATAGATCTTTATTTAAATTTATAGATCTTATTTTTAAATGGGGTAGTCCCTCAAATAGAGAACTGCCCTCCCTAAGGAAGGGCACATGGCTACCCTAGCTTGGCCCCTTCCTTCCACACATGGTGTAGGGCTAGCTTAGGCTAGGCTCTGGTGCCTAAGTTCTCTCTCTATATATTTATACTATTAATTGTCTCTTCTAAAACATCTTATTTAAAATTAATAAAGTGTTATTATACCCTACAGCAGTCCCACAAGACAGGCTGGGATTATTTTCTCCGTAATGCAGATGAGATTGGAGATGGCCTCACCAGAGCCATGAGTCCATAGCTGATGGGAGAGTAGGAACTTCTTGGGTCAGTCGCTCTTTACTATGAAGGCCTGCATCTCCATAATTTTCAAAAGAAAAATGCCATAAAAACATATGAAGGGTCTGCTGGATCTGGCCAATAGCCCCTCTAGTCACTGTGGCCAAAGATGTACCTGTGAGAATCCTGCAAACAGGATTCGAACACAGGAGCCCAAAATGTTTTGGTAGGAGACAGTAAATTTTGATGAACTAACCACAATATGTGGAATCACTTTGCCCTCAAATAATGCATATCACTGTGGCCATTCATATATTCTAATAAAGGTCTTGGGAACACGAGGCTGCCTTCTACTGAGCTGGTCTCCTTAGAAATATATTTTAAAAAATTAAAAATTGTCCAGTAGCACCTTAAAGACCAACTAAGTTTGTTCTTGGTATGAGCTTTCGTGAGCATGCACACTTCTTCAGAGTATCAAGAACAAACTTAGTTGGTCTCTATGGTGCTACTGGACTAATATATATATATATATGGCACGTCAGGCCAACACGTCTACCTACCTGAATCTTGGTCTCCTTAGTTCAGTATTGTCTGCTGTGACCTGCAGCTCTGGACATGTTGCTGTGTGTGTGTGTGTTTCCCTGTCTCCCACTCCCCCAAGATCATCCATGATGATCAAAAAGCTGAGGGTGTTTGGCACCATGACACTCACCTCCATGAGCATCACACTCAGTGTGAACTGGTGCCTGTTCCTGAATTCTTCCTTGTCTCCTTCTTTTGTATGAAATGCATTGTATAGAGTTGCCATCATTTTTACTGGCTATTCATCCATGCTTTTAACCAGCAGCCTGACATATCAACATTAAAAGTAGGAAATGCTTCTTCTGGAGGTGTGTATGTATGTGTGTGTGTGTGTGTGTGTGTGTGTGTGGTTTTAATGTAATTCTTTTAATGACACTGAGGTTATATTTATGATATTGCCCCAGGATTAAGGATTGCATAAATAATAATGGTAGTGGCAAACACTTTACCGGCTTGATATCTGCATGTCAAGCTGCTGCTAAAGGCACAGGAGCAGGGCCAAAATTAGGTGGCCGGCAACCTGGGGCTTTCTTAGGGATGAAGGTGGCAACCCTAAACAATAATTGCACACAAAGTGAATTCCAGACATGCTCCCCTCTGTTGCTGCCTAGAGAATGGAGGTGCCAAGGCTGTGTGTATATTGATGCTTAATACATAGATGGTATGAGAGCATTTAAAAAAGATTTCCTATGCTTCGATACCAGACAACAGTAAGATATGAGGGGACTGAACCTGTGCAATTTTAATGCAAGGATCTTTCTTTTGGAAAGACGTCTGTGTGACAGGCATGAAGAAAGCAGTGCAAATCCTTTCCCCATTCTCGCTCTCCCCTCCCACGCCTCTTCCCAGAGAAAACCTTGTCATTAATGCAACAGATTGGTACAATTGGCCCGTAGAGTAGATTATTTAGGTGTCACATGTCTATTTTCTCACTCTCAGCAGGGGGAAACTTGTTCACGGTTCTGCTGATAACATGATAATATCCCCGATGTGCCTAATGATTAATAATGTATTCATAAGGCTCCTTGCGGCTTCTGAATGTATTTCCTCCTGCATATGGTGCAAAATTCTGCCTAAGCAAAAAGCCCCACAGCTGAGACGGGTAAATGGAAGTGGGATTGCCACATGGTCAGTTTTCTTTTGCCTCTGACTCCTGGTGTGCGCGTATACGTGTGTGTTTGTGTGTGTGTGTGTTTAACAACTCGGCTTCAGTGCTAAGCAATAAACATACATTTATATATGAATTAACATATGCAGAGGAGGCCTCTACCCTGCCCATCTTCCTAGAGATCTGGCATCCCTAAATTAAAGGGTGGCAGACATTTTCTATTTAGGGAAATGCTGGCAATTTAGCATTCAGACTGCGGTTCCTTCAACACTTGCCAAATACCAATCAAACTCTCCTTATCCTAGGCTGCAGGGTGTGTATATGGACTTTTTATATACTGCAGAGTTTTGAGGAGAGTGTGGCCACTGGTGGTCTGAAGGAAGTCCACAAAACTAGTGTCTTGAGGAACAGGGGGGAAGGCCTATAGCTCAGTGGCAAAGCATCTACTTTGCATGCAGAGACCTCAGGCTCAAGCCTCATCATCTCCAAGTAAGGCGGGGAGAGAGGCTTCGAATCATAGAATTGTAGAGTTGGAAGGGATCCTGAGGATCATCTAGTCCGACCCCCTGGAATGCAGGAATGTGCAGCTGTCCTGTGTCTGAAACCATGGAGAGCTGCTGCCCATCAGTATAGCTTAGAGTACTGAGCAAGAAGGACCAGCGGACTGATTGGGTATAAGGTAGCTTCCTATGTTCCTGTCAGGGAACTGCCATCGGAAGGCAGGGAGGTGAAAGGACTCAGACAGGTTGGAAGAGACTCAGCAGCTGAAGAGGGAACCAGCAAGGGGAGAGAAGCTGAACTGAGGGAGGTGAAAGGGCTCAGACAGGTTGGAAGAGACTCAGCAGCTGAAGAGGAAACCAGCAGGGGAGAGAAGCTGAACTGAGGGAAAGGGAGCTGGGGGATGGCTCAGAGATACTTCCAGCGAAAACAGTGGTGAGGTTTCCGGACCTCCTGTAGGGACACCCACTCCTCGCCGGAAACTGTCACGCAGAGAGTCCAGAAGACGTGTTTCCGTTAAGGAGCTTTTATGTTGGAAGCGATTACGAAAGCAACCACTGTCGGAATCTTCTAGTGACTGGAGGAGCCATGTCAGAGGGGCTCAGTCACAGACAGAGGTTTGTGGACTTGAACAAACTCTGAGGGAATACGATTTTACGCACAAGCAGCTCATCTTCCCATCACAGCATTCCGACAGTCATTGAACGCAGCTTGTGCAGGAGAAGGCATAATGAGCAACCCAGCAGGAACCGGAGAAGCAGGGGCTGGAGCGGGTCCAAGCCTGGAAGAAAGGTACCGGGTGTTGGAGGTCCAGCTGGCGCTGCAGACGGCGAGGCTGGAGGAGAGGAGGGCTCAAGATGCAGACAAAGGGAGAAAGCCACCCAGCTCGCCAGAAAGGTACCAGGATTGGTGCAGAAATTTGGGGGGGAGCCCAAAGACTATCATAGCTTTCGGACAGAAATGCAATATGCCCTCAATCTGCAGTTTGATGATTTCCCTGATGAGGAATCACGAGTGGCTTTTGTGATTGGGCATCTTGAAAAGGGGGCGAGAGACTGGGTTAGACCCTGATGGCAGCGCATAGTGACGTCCTAAAGGACACGATGAAGTTCTTTCGCGCCATGGATCTGATGTTTTCCAGCGATATTGAAAAGGGAGTGGTGCGCAGACAGTTAATGGCTTGCAAACAGGGGAGCCGATCTGTACGTGAGTACTGGACTGAGTTCACCATGCTGATACACAGATTGGGGTGGGACTTATCGGCGGAACCCATTCAAATGCTCTTTGAAGAAGGGCTTTCTTCGACTGTGAAAGATGAACTTTCCCGGGCGCCCAGGGCGGAGTCTATGGACCAGCTGACCAAATCAGCGCTGGCCATAGGAGCGCGCCAGGAGGCGAGAGCATTGGAGAGGCGGGAAGGGAAAGGGGAACGTTGGAAGGAGTTCCGCATTCCAGACATTCCAGAGCCAACTTTCCCGCCGGCAGAGCCGATGGAAATCGGAACAGCGCGCGCGCGCGCAGTTTCAAAGCCCAGTGAGGGTGGAAAGAAGGAGGGAAAAGGCGCCCGGAAATGCTATCTCTGCCAACAGCCAGGGCACTTTGCCAGAGTCTGCCCCCAGAGGAAGGAATGGCAAGGGATGGTGGGAGCTGTGGAGGGAAGAGAGGAAAAATACCGGAGCAACTAAAGCCAACGCCTGGCTGCCATTGTCGGGGCACAGCAGCCAGGCCAAAGAGCAGTGAAAGTGCCCACGCCAGAACCTCCTAAACCCGCCCTAGTGATAGAAGTGACACTAGAGCTGCCAAACGGACACCCTCTAAAGATAAAGGCGCTGTTGGACTCAGGCAGCTCCTGCAATTTCATGAGCAAAGAGTTTGCAGCTGAACACCAGATACAGACGCTCCTTTAAGCAACCCCTTCAGGTAACCACGATCGATGGCAGGGAGCTGTTGGGAGGAGAAGTCAGCTTGCAGACCGTCCCAATGATAATGAAGGTGGCAAGGCACACCGAACTAATAGCGTTTAATGTGGCCACCTTGGGAGGAGCTCCCATTATATTGGGGATGAGCTGGCTAGCGTTACATGATCCGCTGGTGGGCTGGCATCAAAGAGTGGTTTCTTTTGGGTCAGCACATTGCTTAGAACACTGCAAAGAGGGAAAGGTTTTGGCAGGGGTCCAAGCCACCCTAGCAGGGACTGAAGTAACGGAGAACGTGAAGGTACCACGACAATACGCAGATCTCCGCGACGTCTTCAGCGAAAGGGAAGCTGATCAACTACCACCGCATAGAGCCTTTGACTGTCAAATCAATTTGCTCCCTGGGGCACAGCTCCCTGTGGGCAAGCTGTACGCCATGTCAGACAGAGAGATGCAGGAGCTAAGAGAGTTCATTGACAAGAACCTGAAGAGAGGGTTCATCAGAGAGTCCAGGGCGGTGGGGGCAGCCCAGTGTTTTTGTGGACAAAAAAACACGAACAAGCCGAGACTGGTGTGTGACTTCAGGGCCTTAAATGCAGTGTCAGAACCAGTGGCCTTCCCGATGCCCAGGATTGACGACATTTTGACAAGGGTGCGGAAGGGAAAGATTTTCACCAAGCTGGATCTAAGGGGGGCGTACAACCTGATACGAATAAGGAAGGGGGATGAATGGAAAACCACCATGTTCACCCCTTTAGGGGCATTTGAATACTTAGTTATGCCCTTCGGTCTACAAGCAGGCTCCGCAACATTTCAATCGTTTATGAACCACGTCCTGGGGCCGTTGCTTTACAAGAATTGTGTGGCCTTCTTAGACGACGTGTTGGTGTATTCTGAGAATGAGGAGCAGCATGTGAGAGACGTCAGAGAAGTGTTGAGCAGGCTGCAAGCCAACCAGCTGTGGGTGAAACTGGAGAAGTGTCAGTTTCATACCAAGGAGGTGGAATTCCTGGGGTATCGCCTGTCTGACAAGGGGTTGGCCATGGATCCCGGCAAGGTCCAGGCGGTACTGGAATGGAAAACACCCAAAACAAGGAAGGATGTGCAGAGGTTTTTAGGATTTGGGAACTTCTATCGTAAGTTCATCCCAAACTTTGCCCACCTGACGGCGCCCATTACGGACTGTCTCAGCAGTAAGAAGAAGTTCGTTTGGACGGAGGAGGCGGAGCAAGCATTTGAGGAACTAAAAAGGGCCTTCGCCTCGGAACAACAGCTCCTGCATGTGGATTTACAAAAACCGATGAGAGTGGAAACTGACGCATCAGACAGAGCGGTTGGGGCGGTGCTTCTCCAGCCAGGGAAGGAGGAGTCAGAGTGGAGACCGTGTGCTTTTTTTCCGCGAAAGCTGAAC